AAAAGCGCCCTTGCATCCCCAAACGAATTATAGGTAAAAAATGCTCAAATACGTGCATTTATTAAATTTTTGAATGCTATTCAATTTTTTAGACGTTGGCAGCTTAGAGCTTCCTAATGATCACTATGGTTATCAGACAGAAGCGGTTTTTCATTTACCCCTGAGTGGAATAGGGTTTGGGAAACAGGAGTAGAATGCAGCACGTTTACATTGAAGAATGCGATGAAGCAAATGGCTTCCGGAGAGGTTGGAAAGGTGCACATTTATTTATAGTAAATGCTAAGCTACCACCTACCTTACATTTATGTTCACTCGAGCTATTGGGTAGCTTACATTTATGCCCTCATTCGCTTTATTTAATCACTTATACTACCTAACAAACTTAACGGAAGAGGTTTATACGCGGCTTAGTATCTAACGAACAACAAATTTGGCAAGAAAGGAATCAGGATCAAAGAAAAGTTAATTATTTCAGTAAAAAAAGGAGAAATAGGGCAAGATATTTGAAAGCAAGACATTGGAGCAGCATGTGATGAGTAAGTTTTTTGTAAGACGGATTGAACATCCATACGGCATACTGATCTTCACTTCCCGATTGATTTTACTTTTTGTTTTTTTTTTCTTGTTCAAGTTCGTATTAGGTCTCACCAGATTTTTTTTATATTTCAGTTATAAATTGATTCGAATTTATCCGGATAATGACGATTCACTCCAATATCTGAACGCACTCTATGAAGGATCTTCTCCATATGAACTGGATTTCTGGCAGCCTCCAACCCACATAGGTGAGTACCAATACCCTAGGACAACCAGTATTATACTGATTCTCTTCTTATTTCGATGGAAATTGGTTTGTTGTCTTTTAGTCCAACTAGTAGGACCCTGAGGAAGGTAAACACTTTCCCTAGTAAAAAGAATCCCATCTTCTCACGTACAATAAGAGCCAGTGCTGTACCTGGCTTCAAACTAAGTATCTGCAGAAATTCCTTACAACTGGGGAATTCCGAGTGCGTGCGCTCTGCCCTGTTTAGAGAATTGAAAAAAGGATGCGAATTGAAATTAAAATTGAAAAAAATTGGATTAGAATAATCAGCTTCTATTGTCAGAACGATTGGGTGGTTTAGACCCTTGTGGAAGGCGGTCTTAGGCTTCAAGTCGCATGACACCACTGTGGCAGGTCCCTGGACCCCTGCTTTGCTTTAGAGATGAACGCATTTTCACATCGTGGAAAAATAGTAAAGTATCACGTTATGCTTTGATCGTTAGCTATTATATCACTTTATTAGTGGATATCACTTTCCCAGACCCTATCAGTTCCTCATTCAGAAAAATGCTTTCCATTTTAGGGGCAATAGTTGACGTGACAGTGGCACCATCGGATGCGGCGATTTTCGTGCACGATCTGGAAACGAAACGACTCCATTATGTGGTGGCCGTGAATGATTTAGAAAGGTTTGTTCAACCATCTTTCGAATCTGTCAGTTGATTTACTTTCGCAAGCAGTCATTCACCTTAATCACCACTCACCATTGGACCTCAAGAATTTTATGGAAATTGGTTAGTATTAGTAGAACGCACGTGATATTAATGTGTATGGTCCGCCGATTGAATGCGAGCACAAAAGCCTTCCCTGCCAACCAAACATTTCATCTTCCTGGAGCCGATTAATTGGTACTAAACCCACCAGGAAAGTCTGGGGCAGCGAATGCACATTGGCTGGGCACCGCGGAGCTAACTCACGACACCGGATGGAAGTCGAATGCGGGCTTACCTAGAACTGAGATTGATTGAAGCTAAAAGGCTCTATGCATTATTCTTTATTAACCTTATTATTTGTTATTTATAGGGCAATAGAAAACGAGAGATCCCCACCTGCTTTCTATCACCCAGAAGCCGGTGGCTATTCATATGACAGATACAACTCTCTGGAAGATATCCATGATGAAATGATTAGGCTAAGAAAGGAGAAACCTGATATGATATCACTGATCGATATCGGAGAATCACATGAGAATCGATCACTTTTAGTGATCAAGGTGAGTCAGATGGAATCCATTAAATGGTTCACGAGAGAGCAAGAATCAGTTATTCTTTATGTAGCGTACAGTAGTACTGCAGAGGTGCTACAGTATCCCTTCTTCACACACATCTCAAGCAATAAAAATCCTCAATTCAGATTTCTGGCCATAGATCTGCTATCGGAAAGAAGGTATCAATGTGGATTGATGGTGGAATACATGCAAGGGAATGGATTGCTCCAGCTACTGCCATGTATATCGTTCGTGAAGTAAGTTGAACCTTCCATAGACGTTATAAGATAGCAGTAGCCCTCATAGACTATGAAAGAAAGCACCAGCAGAAACACCATGTTAAACGTCGGACCTCAGTTTTAACTGGAAACAAAGAACAATTAAAGGATGGTAACAAATACGAGTAACTACGGCGGCTGTTCCTTGTCGAAGATGATTTTTGAAACTATTTAACATACCTAAATATAATAGCGTTCAGTGAGGTTTTCAGAGTTTAGTCGAGTTTATATATGCCAAAATCACAACTCTTTATTACCTTTCATAATTAGTAATTAAAATTTGATGTTCACGGTTGTATCTCCCCATTTGTTATCGTTTTCTTCGATGTGCTACTATCATTGTGTTTGCAGCTTGTGAACGGCTACGATTCCGATCCGTCGATTCAGAAGATACTTGATCATGTTGACTTCTACATTTTACCTGTAATGAATCCCGATGGATATGAGTATTCGCGTCTCAAGGTTAGAAGCACTTCCTTACAGAAATTCCAGCCTACCGTGGGAAATCTGTTGGTGAAAGAACAAATGAATCGCTAAATTTCTCGAAAATATAGTTGCAGTATGGTAGGAGGCAAGTGGCGTTTCTGTAGGCTTAGGTAAGGTTTTGGGTTCTGTTCGAGGAGGGTGTTTTGCCCATAGGCCTAGTTTTCTATGAGAAGGAAAAGCATTTACTGAAGAAATGGGCAGGGCATTACAAAGGACTCTTAAGTATATCTCAGCAATATATCGTCTCCTTACACCTTTTCTGTGCCTTCTGCCGGCAATATGTGGCATTCCTCTTAGCATGACAACAGTTTCCAGTACTTAGAGGATTCCAGATAAATTGGAAATTCGAGAGTTTCCAAAAATGTTTCCAAGGAAGTCCAGGCTTTTTTCATCCTACAATGGAGGCCCATTTGATAAAATTTCAAGCGATCGTTGAATCTAAGCAACTTTGTTAAGTGTTGAAGGAAGGGTTCTCCAAGGGTTCAGATCGATATAGGACCAGTATTTGAAGCCCTTTTCTTGAATTTTAGCTCAAAGTGTTCAGAATCGTATGTGGAGGAAAAATCGTCGTCCGGCTACCTGCAAACGCCAACACTTCCATACAATTTGCTGTGTTGGTGTTGATCTCAACAGAAACTTTGATTGGTTCTGGTCATGTAAGTCCCTAAGCATTCAAGCATGAACAACTACTTTTGTTTATGTGTCTGGCGTATATTTCTTCACTCCCGCGAAAGTACAACATTTCGCAACCAAAATGCAGGATGAAATCAACAAGTAACAATAGTGCAATAAGTATTTTTCTTCCAGCTTCTGGTTCATCTATGGATCCATGTCACGAAACATATCATGGTCCAAGTGCATTTTCAGAACCGGAAACCATAGCTGTCAGAGATTATCTTGAAGCAAACAAGCCCGAAGTAAGTACCCTAAATTTTTGGAAAAATTAATGAAAACTTGTACCTGATGGCGATCCTGTGGCGTTAGAAATATGTGTAAAGATATGAAACTCAGGTGTAGATAAGTATAGAGCAGTAGGACGATGGAATCTAAGGAGCTGGTTTTTCAACTTAGAAGAGGGTCGTAAAACCATAATTACAAATAAAATTTTTTAGGCATTCATCACTTTACATTCGTACTCTCAAATGTGGCTAATTCCATTTGGTCATCGCAAAAGGAGCTATCCTCAGGACTACTATACAGCTCTTGTGAGTCAATCATTTAAAAACTTCTGATTTGAGCGTATGGCCCACATCCACGAAGTTTCCCTTGCCTGGGACAAAAAAACCTGCGAATTGGAAGAGATCAGGAAACGTAATGATGTCCTCTCAGCTCTTAGATTCAGTCTAGACTGCCCTGTGAAATCAACTGACCATCACTATCCGATGGGTTCCTTTCAATCAAAGGAACTCTGAAATATCCTATTAGACCTTAATGGATTTCTCCTTTTCCTTTTGTTTAGTTGTTTGTTCTTTTTGTTGTGCTCTATAGTAAGCATGCTAAAGTTCAGCGGCCACTGGCAGAAAAAGCCACAAAAGCCCTGTATGATTTGTACGGCACTAAATACAAGATTGGAACCGGTGCCGATATAATGTGTGAGTGATTAAGATTCTAGTTAAAAGCTTTATGAATACCATTCCAAACTCAGATATTTTTATCATTCAATTACAGACGAGGCATCTGGAGGATCGCATGATTGGGCCAAGGGTTCGTTGAAAGTGAGCTACGCCTACCTAATTGAGCTGAGGCCGCAGAATACTGCAATAGGGTGAGCCCCGAATTTTGGTCGTGATATGAAAAACTCGTGTTCGGACTGGTGGAACTTGAGTCTCTGTCTGAAAAGAGGTTCTTTGTCCCTACCTTAGAGATTCTCTAAGGTTCGAATAGATTGTCTCAGCTCATTTCACCGAGCTCCGCTTATTCAATGGGCTCTTAATTCCATACAATATTCACGATGATGAGAGCCTCATTTTTCCCCGAGCTTCACTGAGATTTTGGGAACTCATCTGCTATTGCTATCGATCCCAACTAGGAGCATCAGGCTCACTGCTGTTAATTCTTACTAGAAGTTATGATCATATTATAGACCGAGCACCTCATGAAGTAGATTATGAAGATGTCGCACTTCACCTGACCCTTCAATCTCGCGGGTTTTCCTTTATTCCGTCGCTTGTAAACAACAAACACCTAACAAAATAACTTGAAGGCTCGGTTCTAGCTAGAGATGTTGGCAGGATAATTCGGTTAGACTTCTTTATCCAATCGAAGGACCTATGTCCATTCCCACTATTGACTAGAAACGTAAGAGGATCACGGTGAAAAATCGGGCATGTACTGAATTGGTAGTTTACTGTAGCAGAAGTAGCAGAAATACCTCCCCCAACAGTAAGTTAGGTCTTGAGTGGAAACATGCAATACTCTTTGTTAAAACATAGTCTTGTAGTTTAGAGTTGCTCCCAGAGTTAGATTTATTGACCACTATGAGGTGCCTAATCTAGATAGCTCCTTCCAGGAAGGTATTCTTGACTCGTGTCGTGGCCAAATTCACCTAACATATCTGGAATGTTTTCGTGATGTGATTACTTTTCAGTTACGGTTTCCTTCTTCCTGAACGTGAAATTCCGGCCACAGGACTAGAAACGTTTGCTGCTATACGAGTGGTTGCCGAAGAGATGGTGGCACAGTTCGTGGAGCCAGAAATCATACGACGAGTCAAACCTAGTCAGTACCCTACTACCGCTTGCACCTACTATATTTCAAGAATGGATTCGCATTATTTCCAAATATCATGGCTTTCTAGCTGCTCCACCGCTACCGAAACGTCGTGGTTACAAAATCATTGATACCACACCACACGACAGAAATGGAGAGACCAGTGCTACCCTAGGTTTGGATATTCGTATAAAAGCAGTCAAGGATGCGCCACGCACACAGCCAACCTCTCCTAATCATTGAAAATTTCACTCGGGATCGTTCGTAGGACAGAAAAGGCCGTGAAGATTGAGTGCTTCCAGCGTTGGTTTCCTGAAATTTGGTTTACATTTTCGTCAAATATCAGTAAAAGCGGTGGATGGGGGTAGTCCTGCGGTGACAGGATTTGCACGGTCTTTACAGGCTATGCTCCATCTGAGGATCATAGCGGTAGCCCGTTTCCTGTACAGGTAGCAATGCCCTGCCATCATGAAGAAATTTCAGATGCGTGGCGCATCTTCCATCATCCAACCTTTAAGTTATATAATTAAGACTAATTCTACTAAAAGCTTTGTTTAACTGTTTCAGAAACAACACCGAGTCCTTCAGAGGCCACTACTGCAGACACTGCAATGCCGACTCCCGGTCCAGAGCCAGTAACCCAGACTACCACTACTACTACAGCCCCTACAACCACCACCACCACCCCTACTACCACCACCACCTACCCTACTACTACCACTACTACCACAACCACTACAGAGCTTACAACTAAAACAAAAAATACCCAAGTGTCAGTGAAAATATGTATTGATTACGGTAGTTATTGCCGTCTTTGGAGTATATTGACGCTGTGTGATAGGCCATCAGTGATGTCGATGTGCGCAAAATCGTGTCAAAAGTCATGTCGACCATAAGATTTCAACTCTGTTTTCAAAACGTATGGCATATTGTCAGTATTGATTGGTTGATTGCTTGTTTGGAATAAAAATTTGTAAAATATTGGATGGCTTCGTTAAAAGCAGAAATACAATATCGTCAACTCGGGCCCAATACCAGCCGTACACCTCTTTTAGTTTCACCCGATGGGAGAGATTTGCTCCTGTACTGACGCCCACGAACACATTACCCTTCCCGGCTGCACAGCCTATAATGATACAAACATAAGAGCTTGTTGCATTGATGGTATTCCACCTCCTTCCCCATCTCTCCTCCTTCCCAGTATCATTATAAAAGTGGGTGGTGTGGTGGCAAATGGCGCACCATAACCAACTTACGTGGATATGGATTCGAACCCTTGAACGAGATCCCCTTTGCCAACGAGGCCTTCTAACTCCCCGGGGTCCGTTAACTAGTACCGCGCTCGTCTGGGAGGATAAAAGCACTGACTTGAACATCGGCTAACCACCGCAAGTCATTGTATAAACCGAATATGCATCCCAATCACCACGACGACTTTGAATGGATGCAGAATGAAGGGGCGCATCCCAAAACGGGTCTGATTAACGGGAAAGCCTAAATCATTTATATTCACATCCCAATTACTCATTATTCATGAGCTAACGTTGCGGGATCAAGTACAAATAGTACAAATAGGAGTTCCAACTCCCCAACCCCCATCTTCCTCTTATAGGAGTTACTTTGGGAACTCTTCCTGAATCCTCAGTTTGCTTTTGCTAGAAGTGCAGAAAAAGGAAGTGTCGTCAAAAATAAAAAATGTCAATTCAGTCAATTACCTTAGGGACTTACTAAACCCCTGAGTTGCAAATAAACAATAAATATTAATGCAAATAAACAAATGATCAAAGAAAATGGAGCGCCCCAACTGCTTCGTCCGTCTTGCAGACTCTGCAAATGCCATATTATATTCCCGTGTTTCTTCGTGTGTGGCCTGGCTCCGATTTCCATTCCCAAAGAAATCGTTGGTAAAACCTTTCTGTGTAATGTCTTGTAATCAATCACAACGTTGCTTTATAAATAAACCTTTTGATAGAGGAAAATCATGGCAGGAGTGGGAACACAAAACCGGAGCATCAAAGCGATAAAAGAAAAATGAAAACGAACGAATGAAAAAGAAGAAGAAACAACTCAGAGGAACGATAACGTAGGAACATTCNTTCCTGAATCCTCAGTTTGCTTTTGCTAGAAGTGCAAAGGGAAGCGTTGTCAAAATTTTAAAAAGTGGTGATTAGTCAGTTATGTTAGGAACTTATTAAATCCCTGACTTGCAAACAAACAATAAATATCAAGAAAATAAATAAATGATCAAAGAAAAATAAAGTGCTTTGACTACTTGGTCCGTCTTGCAGAGTCTGCAAACGACATATTATTTACTCGTGCTTCTTCGTGTGTGGCCTGGCTCCGGTTCCAACTACAATGAAACCACCGGTGAAACCTTTCTGTGTAATGTCTTCCAAACAATCACAACGTTGCTTTATAAATAAACCTTTTGATAGAGGAAAATCATGGCAGGAGTGGGAACACAAAACCGGAGCATCAAAGCGATAAAAGAAAAATGAAAACGAACGGAAAAAAGAAAAGAAGAAACAACTCAGAGGAACGATAAAGTAGGAACATTCATATTGACTAGCCATATTTAGAGAAAAAAAAACATTTGCGCCAAGAACTGAAAGACCGTTCCATCATCATTTGAAGTCATCAAAAAAATACTAATTGAGTTGTTTATTGATTGTTTGTTGGTTTCGACCTCTTAGGAAATCTGATAGAAACCCTAAAAGTAGTATCATCAAATATAAGTGCACTCTTTTGGTTCTATAGGCTTACTGTAACGTAAACAGTATGTATTGCAGAACGTATTGGTGCCACTGTTGAATATGAATTCGTTGGCGAATAAAGGGGGGAGGGGGAGGATAGAAAAGAAATATTGGAGGGAAGGAAAAACAAAATACAAATAGCCTCATATCATATAGCTTGGAATGAGTGCAATATGAATGAGAGAAAAATAATATGGTATGCAATCAATACCAATCAATATATCGATCGAAATTTGGAAATGTTCTGTCGCAAAGGAAGTAATACACGTCAGCAGAAGGGAGTTCGCAAAGAAATCCACTCATCGAGCAAATTCACTTTTAATTGGTCCACGATGAAAAGTTAAAGGGAAACAGCAACAGGCGGATCCAGGATATGGTCGTCTGTCCAAAAGGATTGATGCCACACCCAGCCTGTCAAAATTTCCAATTTAAAGTAAAAATTGTACCATTGAGCATCTGAACCAGTTCGGTGACGCTTCTTTGCAGAATTTTACAAAGGTTTTTTCATGGGGAAACCATTTTTCTAAGGCGAAAGTCCTTTAAGCTGACGTGTATAGAATCAATAAATCGATCGTTCAAGAACCGGGGGCAAATCAGAAGCAAGCAAATATGATTATCACCAGGAGACGAGAAGAAGAACAACAGTAGTGTTCAAATACAGAAAAAAAGACGGAAAGAAGAATCGTACTAAGCTCGCTAGTTCACAGATCCTAGAATTCGAGTGAAATAGCCTATGCTGAGCTCATCATGAACAACCGGTGGTGTGGTCACCCCCCTAGGAGGAGAGGGTGATGTTGTGTCAAATGCTCAACGTTAAAACAATACCCGCAAGTGATTGGGACGTATTCCGGAAATGGGAATGGTACGAAACGATTGAACGAGGGGATGAATCCCCCCGTCGTATATATGATGCCTAAGAATGCCCATTTTCGGTGGCAGTAACGCGACCACGCGACATCAACGTGACAGACGACGACGACGACGACCAACGTTTTCACGCGAATGACACCTCGTATCGACATGGTATATCCGTCACATACAATCGACTGTAATTCGGTCCCCATCCTCGACCCACTGATATCACTAGATTGCTATGCGATAACGCTGGATCCTTAAATAGTAATAGTTTAGAACTGAGATGGAAAAATCACTGAATTCATTGGCGGGACCTTATTTTGAGAAGAACGTACCCGACTCATCCTCCGATGAAGTTGAATGGCTCGTTCACTAGCTGGAGCACTGGCTGTTGCTTCCCCTTTATGTACGCGGATGCAATAACCCGGTGAAAGACGTCGTAACGTATCCGGTTTTGATGATGAAGCTGTCATGCTTATAAATAACGGCCGTGTACCGCTGAAATTAGTAATGCCCATAAATAATGCTGAATCATTCCGGATTTGTTGAATACGTTCCCCTGTTGCCGCAACGCATATGGACGCGTGCGGCAATCGATATTGCGTGTTTGTCCTGGTATGTCAAAATTGATCGTCTCCTAGGCGCTATAGCTCCCTTACTGCTCCACTTTTTTTTTAAATCGACTAATTATCACTACCATGATGACTCGTCTAAATATTTTTGAGGGAGAATTTTGCTCCTACTAGGGGCAGAGAGAGTTTAAAGGTGAGAAAACATCAAATAAAAATAGCTCCACCTGTTATATAACCATACATCTTCGGGAGCATCAGAACCTATAGGATCGGACTGCCGTATCAACGCGAACGACACCTCGTTTTTCAGATCCCACTCACTGCAAACCGGCTGTGCATCGTGGACTAAAACAAAATACTATGAGAACGTAAAAAAAAAGTTGTTTGAAGTCATTCATGCGTCACCTGACTGGGAAAGTATACCAACAGCAGCAAACGATCCAGTGAGCGATAATGGCTCACCCACCCGATCTTTCCTTTCCCAACGTGACATACGGCCCCATGCTGAAATGAATACTATCAAGTATCAGTTAGTTATCATTGCCAGTTACTTCAGGAAGCACCAGCAGGTCGTATAAAACAACTCAACGGAAGTGCAGACCTTTGAACATAAAATTGCAGATTAGATATATAGAAATTGAATTATTTGAATTGAAAGTCAATTAGATTTTAGCCACTGTGTTCGGTTGGAGATAAGTCCTCCAACACTTTGAACATGTTCCTCCTGGAGAAAACCAAGAACCTTTTCAAATGCTTTCACCCCTGTTTGCTGTAGAGTGTTCCTGAGTCCCAGATAATAATGATGACTGATTGTGGATTGAACGTTTTGTTTAATAAAGAAATATAAAACGCAATAACTTTTCCAAAGTGTTGCACTTTCCTTCCAACCTAGCAGATACAGCCGCACTGTATTTGAACCTTAAGGGCTAAATAATGGACCAATGGCCTGAACTACGTGAGCCCCCGCTCATTCCGAAGTAAGCAAGAGACTTGTATGGGAGAACAACGCACTGACTTCCACCTTGGCCGAGCCCCAGATAGAGCAACCAGTTCTGTGAGAAAAATTCAAAAGTCAGCAAAACAATGTCCTGCTGGAATCGTTATCGGCAGGGGAACATGAGTATACGTCATGTACTCAGCTCCTGTTCAAAGTTGCACGTTCTATGAAACACTGTCGTGCTCTTATAAGGATCCCTTTAGTAAGTTAGACGATCTCCACGTACTCCCCGTCATTCTAATTTCTTCGAATATCCATCAAGTTTAATGTGTACGAAGGCAGTCAAGCGTAATATACCCATAACCGAAAACGACTCTGAAGTGGCCTTGATCAATCCCTTCCAAAAAGCTCATATACGATTGGTAGTCATAAAAATATGCTCTCAATTCTGCAAAACGACGTGCTGAGTGACGGGTAGTGTGTCGTTTGCAAAGGACAACACTTGAAAACTGAAATTTCTCGAACATAACTGCCTTACTGGACCACAATGTCGCTCTCTGCATGTCTGAAGCAGTAGCCGAGACCTGTCTTAACCCAGGTCTCGGCTACTGCTCTAGACGTAGCTTTGCTCCCACGTGTGTAGTACCTTCCACTTCAACAAATTTGAATTATTAGTCGTTCTTCTTTTGAGCCGTCTTACCTCCCATCCGCCCTTATACCGCCTTGTGCTGCTTGATCAGTGGTCCTACAATCCCAGTAGCGCGTAGTATCTATTGAATATTTATTTTGGTTAAATGCTACTACACACGAGCCATGAGAACTGCCTAGACTAAGCTGAAACTGGGGCTACGTTCAAAACCTCCGGCCTAACAGCTACGTCCCCCTACGGGTTGCGGCTGGGACGATTTCTGGATCAGACGTGGCTGAACCCTGCCCAGACACTCAATTATTGATCACTACTACACGTCGCAAAAGACTCCGGTCAAGTGTGCTCGGAAGGTCGTTGGGCTTAGACCAAAATGTAAACTTTGCAAAAGCCCATATGCTTGCACGGAAGGCAACAATCAAAATAATTAAGCATAAACGAACGTAAATTTGGCAAAAAAAAANAAAAAAAAATATGAAAGTGTGAACAGACGCGAATGGAAAAGTGGCAGATGCTGAACGATGTTCTCTTCGTAGGCTCGCCGATAAGTTTTGAGTACCGTTCAAGTAATACCGGCGTATTTTTCGAATTCAGGCTAAAGACGGTAGGACAAGGTAGCAGACTGCTGTGATGCATTTACTGCAATCTAGCTGAACACAACCTACATGTAGTTGTACTAAAACTGCCTCAATAAAAGATAAGACACAGTTCCCACGACGTATAAAAGGTGCCTAGACTGAAGGAAACTTGGCCATCTTTTTAAAGATTGTCTGAGTAAAAAAATGTACCGGAAACCCCGTCTTTCCGTAAATCTCGGAGCTTGGTATACTTTTTGGACCATTACTTAGCGTTTTTAGTTTTCAGAGAATTTTTCATGAAAGCCGGAGAATTGAACACATTCACATCTCCTTCTTGCCAGTAATCGAGGGCACCGTTTTACTCCTCTAAGCTTATACCATCAAGTTGTTCCGGACCTCTCCAGTATCCTGATATACAAGGCTTTCGATGATATCCAGAAGCTGATTCTTGGATCGAGAAATAGCTAGCATCCAGTGAACCCTATTTTCCCCGGAGAGGAATTGAAAAAGCTCCCAAACTCTTGAAAAGATGGCTCAAGCAGATAAACAATTATGAATAGTACATTGGAACATAATTTGATTT